TCACAACACCTCCACCCTTCCGTCATTCCCCTACCCTTCATCCGTCCGCTCCGATACTCACCTTCGGACCTGACACCTTTCCTCTCCTCCACTCCTTTCCCCTTTCCTCTTTCCTCTCTCTTCCCTCTGGCCCTCTTCCGCCGACCTTCTGCCAAGTTACGACCTTCCGCCGCTGTCCCATACCTCATACTCGGACACCACTCATACCTTCACTCCAAGACTCCATCATAGCTCCTACCTCAGACTTTGACTCCACCTCAGCTTTAGTCCATTGCATTGGTGACCTCATACTACGTAAACACCATTGCCAAAATTCCTTGGACTTCCAACCCCGCCTCCGTAACCTCCGTAAGCTCCGCAACCTCTGAGCTCCATGGATCATCTTTGGCACTTTCACTGCTTGTAATGTATCTTTCACGTTTCCCCCTCATCCCTATTTGGACTGCTGCTTCTTCCCATTCTAGCCAGTTAGTCATCATCCCCACTTCCCCTCATCCTCCTGCCCCTCTGGGCTTCGCCCTCCTTACCTCCTTTCGGATGTACCACAGGTTCTGCCCTATGACCTTCGGTACCGCTCCACTTCTGTCATCCCTTTGTTCCCGTTCAGACACCTTCATTCCGATTCAGACCCCCTTTGTTTCCTTGTGCTTTCGCCCTCTCCATTATATATATCAGCGCTTGTACATACTCATTTTAGGCCTTAGTCTAAAATCGACCTGAAATGCCCCCTAGAGACTTCCTGCTCGCTGCCTATGAAATTAAGGACCAAATGGACAAACAGCAATGGCACAGCGCTCCACTTGAGTCGCTGAGGCCAAGGTCCCTCCTTGCTAAGTCTCCGGTTCCCCTCTGGAATCGTCCGCCCTCACCCAGTTCTAACAGAGAGGGAAGAAAGAAAGGAAAGAAAGAAAGAAAAGAAAGGAGAAGAAGAGAAGGAGGGAAGAGGGGAGGGGGCACTGGGTGGAGCTGGGTCCAGGGGGCTGGGTGGAGCTGGGTCCAGGGGGCTGGGTGGAGCCAGGTGTGTGGGTGTGCCCTGACAAGGGTTTGTTTAGTGTAGTTAGTGTAGCATTGCTTATTGCTATTATATATACATTAGGGGGGTTCACAAAGGCACAACTATGCACAACTCGGACTCAACTTGAGTTCCTCAACTCAAACACAACTGAACAAAACTACAACAAAACAGCCAGTTGTGTCGAGTTGTGAGTCTCAACTCACATGGCCCAACTGGATTCCCAACTCGGCCTTTAGAAATTTCTTAACTCCACTGCCCAGTGACAGAAAGTCAGGTGAGGACTGTACAGTTTTGATTATCCCTTCATCATATCATGGCAGGATAGGTTTGGGACAGGATTAAGTGATGGTGGTGCTGATAGTAGGAATTTTGGATACTGTGAGCATGCTTCAGTGTCGGTTGTTTGTGGGGGCTTGAGAGTTGACATCAACTGTGTAGTTCTTACATAAGTCAAGGGTAGACAGTGTTAAAGAAATATTAGTTGAGCCTAAGATATGGATCTTCGTGAACGCCCCATAACTAGTTCCAAACTAATCCTAAACTTTGAGGCATAACTGCACCCACATGTGATGGAGTTGCATTCAAGTTGTGCCTTAGTTTTGCTCCAGATTTGCCTTTGTGAATCCCCCTATTGAAGTCATCCTTGTGCAATAACTCTGGCAAAAAAACCCCACCAAGAATGAATCGAACCCACACAAGCAGAGGGGTCTATAAACAGCACTATAACCCTCTAGACCAAGTAGACCTCACATGTACTCACCCTTAAAAGTAATATATAGAGGGTCAGCCACAGATCCGGGGTTGATCACAAAGTCAAAAGCAGCTGCCCAATGTACACATTGATCACCCCTTTTGGAAGTTTTTCATCTTATGCAAAAGTTTTCTATGGGAGAAACTCAAAAAAAAAAGAGGTGGTAACATGCAGGATTTGAATCAGAACCCTCTAAACACAGAATTGAAGAGGTGGCAGCAGCAGCTGCTAAGCCAAACCACCATCACTACAGTGTGGGACGCTAAATTCCGACACCCAGTTTTGCTTCCAAGAAACTTCGCTGTAGGAGAAATAACGGCCACACTATGGAAACCCATTATGAAAATATGCCAGATAAATCACAAAACCTCATACGACAAGTAGATATGAGAACATAGAAGGACCTGAATTTTAACGAATTTTACGAATTTTTACGAATTATTACGACTATACACGATAAATCGAAAGAAAGAAAAATAACAAAAATACTTCAAGCTTACCATCAACGAGACGGAATTCTCGGGGGAATTTATAGCAAATATTAAACCAAGAATTAGGACAATCGACCAAGATTTGACTATAAAAATAATCAGAGAACCTCCACGGAAACTACTTTCCCACGTCCGCACACATAGCAAGGATGGAAGTACCACGGAACAAAGATTCCTCAGGAACTAATGCAAAAGTCAAAGTCGTGTTTATAATAGGAAATGTAGATGTCACCCAAACGGAACCAATGAGAGTAATTATAGGGGAAACTACCCATAAACGACGGAGATATGACTGAAACTCCTGCAAAACGAGGACAATGTCTAAAAAGCAAGCGCGAAGATTAACTAGTAACGACCGAGACAAGCTTGATAGCCCATTAGAAAGGAAAGGATCTACTCTTAATCCTCCCAAATTTCCATAATAAAAGGATCATGCGTTAATGAGAAATCCAATAACGGGAATAGCGACATCAAAAGTCCGAGCTCAGGGACAAGACGATGATTGCGTAGGATCCATAATTAAAACATACAACGAAATTTACACGGAAAATATGAAAAATAGGAAACTATAGTTATGCAAATTCTCAGCCCAAACGGTCCAGCCGTTGTGAAGTTATACCCATGGCGGGAATATAGGAATCCGCATCATGTGTAATGACACGTGAGGGTGGCGATGCGCAGGGAACCGGCCGTCGGAACCGAGATCCGCACTTCGGCAGATCGCGAAGACCAATTTCCGTCCAAATAAGGAAGAGCCCGGTCAAAACAAAGCACGAAAGGTGCAAAACAACCTTAGATCATGAGGGAAAAATCTGAAATAAATCACAGAAGCCCATATGAAAGAAATAAACACCCGCGCATATCATAAATCCCGAACAACTAAACGAAAACGGCTCCCGCATACGAACAACTATGGGAACGACGCACGTGATTACCGAATGTGCGCGCGAAACTTTGCTAACTCAACGAATACAGGGAAATAGGACACAACCTTAGTACCATTGGAAAGGTGGGAATAAATGGAAATTTATGATACCAAGAACGTGAGAAAACATCCAGAAATGAATGAGATACAAGGACATGAAGTTAGAAACCTGAAAACACGCGGGAAGACAGCTTCAAGAGGTCTAGAGCCCTAAATAAAATACATAAAAATATGATATCTTCGAGGACGACCTACTATAACAACGAACAATACATATGGAGGATTAGGATGTGATAATACAAAAGGGAATCAGGGAATATGAACGAAATTCACGAAAACTACTAAACTACGACGGACCATGGCGGGAATTTTAGGGAACGATGTTCTAATGAAGTAGAGAGCTATAACACATTCGTTTGAGTAATTCTTGATTACTAGCAACTTTTTCTTTCAGTTTTAAACCTGAATAATTCACTCATTTATCATTTCAGTCTCATTTTAACTAAAATGTCACTAAATAAAATTGGAATAAATCAGCTGAAGGTCTCAGCACAGTCGCACGCATAGTAATGCGAGGTTTGAATTCAGTATGACCGAGTCATAGCGAACTTAATGGGAAATATGGGGAATTTGAAATAGGGAACTGCGGCAAATGCGGCGCAGACAAATTCTAATTAACCATTAAAATAGCTTAGGCGAGGAAGGACAATAAGGATTCCAGGCGCAGTCTGACCGCAGTAGACCGCAGTTCAGCGCAGCAAAGCGCAGCGGAACTATAGCGTGAAAATTTCACTTTTTATTCAGTTTGAGAAAAATACACTGTAAATAAATCCTGTAAATAGAAGGTAGAGCGTGAAAAAGGAAGGCGACCCAAGGAGTATAAAAGGGAGACCCTTTCTGCGACCTTTCGCCCCCCTCAGAGAAGTAAGAAAATAGAGTATTATTTTTCTCAAGCATCTCTGGTTGTCACTCCAGTGCGAAAAAGTGATATACAGTTAAGATTGCCACTGTAGTAAAAGGCAGCAATTAAGGAGAGAAATATTAAGTAGATATTTCAACAGGAGAGCTGGTTAACACTCCAGATTTCAAAGTGTAAACACAAAACAGTTATTTTGCTACTGTTAAAACAAGCAATAAAATAAAGACAAAAATAAAACGAACTCAAGGGACACTCCAGACACCATCCAAATTCATTAACTGAATAGAATCTTTGAAACTTCACCAAGTAGAAGATTAAATTCAAGTTTAAATCCAAATTAAACAACGCTACACAAAATTACACCTAGACAAATTAATAAATTTCAATAAAGAAACAGCTCCGCAGGGCTCGGTTTATCTGTAAGTCAATTCCCAGGAACTTTAAAAATAGAATTAGCCAAAACACTCGGATTGGTACTATATTTACAATAAACAACACTAGTACACTTCCCCATCCTAACTAAAGAACCAGGGAACAGCTTGGTGGTGGTCTCGTTTGAACCTCCCAACTGACCTTCCTTCGTTCTCTCCTTCATCGCTTTCACAGATTGTAAATTTCTTGTTAAATGAGCTCTGAGAAGAGTCGGACTCACGAAATTGGCCACGTCAATTGCCAAATTAGGAAAGGGCCTTGTTAAGACAGCACACACTAAGTTTTAAGGCAAAGAGGTGATCTGAGGTGCTACCAGGCATCTCTGGCAGTGAGAATGACCATTCCTGCATTGTGATGTAGGGTTGGACTGCAGAGATGGATGGAATTATCACATGGGAAAGTTAGCGCTCAAACCCAAAATGCCTGCCAAAAATGTTGTCAGCAGCAGGTGAGAGAGCAGGAAAGAAATGCCTCAGGTGCCTTTGGGAAGTGAATATGGCTTGAGGATGCCACCTCTGACTCCGACTTCAATTATCAATATGCCTCAGATTCCACAACTGACCTCTCCGACTTGGATCATGACTGTCAAGATGAAGAGGATGCAATCAAAAGCTTAGAGGGGTTTTACGAAGTCTTTATGGGCCCAGATAGACATCCCAACCTTGAAGAACAGGTCAAAAATGTAAGCGAGATTGTCCACTTTTTCTGGTTCAGATTAAATCGATGTGTGTGGCAGGCCAAGTTCTGTGGCCGAGCACCTTATACTGGAAATTCCAAGCATTCAGAGCGTCGCAGACAGCAGCATTGGAGAGAGTTAGAGGGAGCAGCTGCCTCATGCAATCATAGTGTATTTCGGGCCTTTGAGCAAAAGGCCAGGCTCAAGGTACGTCATGATGTACATTCTGAAATGTGCCAGAAGTGGGCCCATACTGAAGAACTTGTCCCACTGTCTGAAGCACAAGCACATAGGTGTTGATGGGCGACAGGGAGATGTCCAGATGGCCCAGGAAAAAACTCATCAGTTCCATGCTCACAAATTTGAGGAGAAGTTACAGAGAATCATAAGCAGGATGGACTTGTTAACTATGGAGGAATCAGATGTGTGTTGAATGTTGACTGAAATAAGATTGATGTACTGACTCTCGGCCAGGTAACAGATATCAGTGATGATGACAAGGACTTTTGTGCCAAAAATAGGTCAATCTGCACTTCGACAAATGTCTCCGACATGTCAGCAGAACCAGAGGCAGTTCCAGAAAGGCCTGACTATAGTTCAGATGAAGCCATTGCATCTGTTGAAGGCATCCTGATAGAAGAGGAACCCAAGGAAGATGTGTTGGTCATTGTGGCCAAGTTACTTAAACATGCTGTGAAGGTCCACACGAAGAAGACCTTGAGGAATATTATGATGCTTACAGCCATTGTATCATATGAGAAACTGCGCTGGATGTGGAAAACTGGTTTGCGATGAAAGAAACAGCCTGCAAAGGCTGCAAGTCTTGCAGTAGCAGCATGCATGAGAAAAGGAGAATATTTTGCATGCAAGATCTGAGAAACTCTTCCATATGTTCAGAAATACCGGCGACTCCCTGAGCACACAAAATTTCAGAGGATAGGTGCTGAGAGCCTTCTTGACAATGAGGCTGTTGTTGCAGGGGTTCAACGCTATCTTGCAGAACAAAACCTCGGAGCAGTAAGTCATTGCTGGAACTCTTAACTGACAGGAACTGATCATTTTTCATCAGATAACTCTGCATCTCCTCACAAAGCATGTTAATGAGGTCCTCATCCCAGGCTTGACACTGGAGGCACAAGTTGGGAAGAACAGCATTACTGAGAGGACAGTGCAATGCTGGCTGTGGAAGCTTGGATACCGAAATGTGGAGTCAAGGAAGGGAGCATACATGGATGGACATGAATGCTGTTGTGGGGACAACTCCGTGTACCGCAAAAAGTCGGATTCTGCGGAATTTGGCCACAAACACCCACTACATACCCGCTGACGCTCCCGATGCTCATTCTATCACTATCCAACACTACATACACTCATTCCTTATTTTTCCTTATTTTCCCCATCATTCCCGACAACCCCAAGCAAAATTCCCACGCCCAACCACGCCGCCAATTTCACCCCCTCTCCACATCTCAAGAACCACTGCACCAATTGGGACGAATAAGGGCTCGTTGGGAAGCTGGAGACGAGGAGGTTGCTGACGGGAGGATAGGCGGGCGCTGTGGCGAAGTGTTGCGGAGTTAACCTTCACAATTTCCATTTCGGACCCGTTATCACATATTCCCCATTCATTCATTTTCTTTTATTGTTTCTTTGTTCCCAATTGGATATTCATCATTTATGGTTGCCTACCGGCCCGTCTACATTCCCCCATGCCATTCATTGCATTTCAAACATATATAAACTAGATAACAGCTTGTACATAACAAGTTAGTACTGAATAGACCCATGAAGGGACAAGCAGAAGTTACATCCAAGTGGCAAAGATGCCATCCACAACCCTAACACCCCCTCTGAGCTAGTTTCTCACGTCTAAGACCCCTCACATCATAATACTCAGCCTTGACGTCCAAGAGAGACGTAGGTGAGTGTTTGTTTGAGGTTTTTGCAGACTCAGTAGCGCCCACGGACCAAAACCCAGCCCCATGAACCACACCCACGCACACTACCACCCTCCCCCTTCTCTCTGTCTCGAGTCTAGGCAATAGACCCATTACAACGCCCAGATGTCATTGCTTCCTGCAAAGCATTTATTGATGCAATGTCTTGTGAGAAGGGGATTGGACGGTGAGCACTGAACAATGAATTTGAATTCAAAGAGTTATTCAATAGATTATTGTTGCAGATATATTCAAGTGTATGATGGCCCTAACATGGAGCCCATAGAGTGGGTGTGTCCAGGAAAAGAGCACATTCCAGTGTATCAAGATGAAAGCATCTTCCATGTGAATGAATATCACCAACATGTGTGGATCAAGGATGGCCAGCAGCCACTCTGGAAGAAGGGGAATGGACGTGCAATACACGTTTCCGATTTCATAACTGAAAGGGATGATTGGTATTAACTGAAGAGGAGAAGGACTTGAACCTCAAGCGCCCACCTGAGGCAAGAGTGGAGCCAGATGCATGAGTCATCATATACCCTGGCAAGGGGCATGATGCATGGTGGGATGGCTCTCAGTTTATGAAACAGGTACACTGGTAACCCATATGCTGTCTTGGACGAGGCTGAGATCACAAATAGCTCAAAAATGTGATAGACATATTTGAATTTAAATTCCCAGATTGCATTGGGGTTTGGATGTTTGACTGTTCATCAAGTCATGAGGCCTTTGCACCAGATGCCCTGAATGTCAATAATATGAACATCAATCCTGGTGGTAAACAGCCAAAGATGCACCCGACAACAATCCCCCTTGGCAACCCTCCCCCTCAACCTGGGTGCCCAGATCCCCGTGGCCAAGTACAACTCATGGTCTTTCCTGATGATGAATGCACTCCGGAAGGACTCTGTGGCAAGCCTAAAGGGATGAAGGCTGTGCTACAAGAGCATGGGGTTGTGTGGGACATCCTGTGTGATAATTCTCTGAAGTGCAAGCCAGTCAGTATTTGTGAGCATTGTGTCAGGGACTGCATGTCAGTTCACGATGATAAAGGTGTTCCCAAGAATCCTAGTCGTTGTTAACGCTGAAGTGCCACCTTCAGCAGAGATAGGGCTTATATACATGGATACTGCTATCCACTAGAGTGCGGCTACAAACGAGATAAGAAACAGCCGATAGAATGACGACATGAAAAGATAGCTATTCATTCGGGTAATCGTAAGCAAGGTGTGGGAAAGGGGTGACATGTGGACAGAAGATAGAAGTGGGATGCTAAGCGAGAGCTAAGCGAGATTACCTGCATTCTTCAGATCACTCTGGATCGTCTTACAGCAACTCCCTTCCGGCATAGGGAGTCAGGGTAGCTGGTTAGGCCATGCCTTGACACTTTGCCAAATGTCACAAGCAGCTAAAGATGCGGCCACATGATTGGCTGCAGCTGAGGCTGCATGTAAGGAATGGATGGTGGAGCAGCTGTGTCTTTATTCATCTTTATTCTTGTTGCATACAATGTAAAACAACCGTATTTACATATGTATGGCTTGGGCTTGGGCAAAGGGTTCTTCACTCTTTACCCTCACCCCTGTCAAATCTAAGCTCAATACAGCCTACAATCTTGACAGCCAGAGGACTGAGGAGTCACCCAGGTCAGAACCCACACCAACCTTACACTGCAGGACAAGAAGATGCTGAAGGGCCAGATGGAGCACTGGACTCAGCACTCTGTGAACCAATACCTGCGTCTGACTGGTGCTGTATGAGCTGTGTGCTCTCTTGCCAGTCTGATTTTCAAAACGAAAAGCTGCTCATCCAGCACTATGTGGAACAATGTGGCCACCTCTGCTTCTTCCTTCCTAAATTTCACTGTGAACTTAATCTGATAGAGATGGTGTGGGGCTATGCAAAATACCATACTCGTCTTATCTCACTATATCACCAGGTTTCAATCTGACATATGCATTACTCTCATTTACAGGGTATAGGGCTGCAGCAGATGGTAAGTTCCATATGGCAAAACAACTTGTCCCTGCATGTTTAGATGGATGCGACCTCATCACAATACGCTGTTGTAGGAGGGACAAGCTGGTAGTACCCAAATGGCACCATATAACGGTCTACAGACGTTACCTGGGACCCAACACACAATCTCCCATCCCCCCAAAGCCCGTTGCACTCCCCCCATCATCTCTGTATTTTTCCAGACCAGGTTATGGCCACTTAGTTTCCATGTCAGGCCGCTTTCATGGTATTTTCACCATATCTCCCCCAGTTCTTCTCCGATCCAGACACATTTTATATCGTTAGAAAGCTGCCGTCGAGACGAGTCGAACAAGTCCAGTATCGGGAGATTTGGTGCAGCCGTTGTGGAGATCGTCGAATTCTATCGATTGTGTGGCCACACCCATATATTTATCATGTTTTCTGTTGTTTTCTTTGTTCTGTGTTGTTCTGTCCATTTCTATCCGTCCCTAACACCGTCGGATTGCTCGGACATTAGCTTCGGTTATATACAAGGATGTATTTAGATCTTCTCCTCCTTCCCACTTTAGTGCCAGTCCGACAGTACCGCATCTGGGAGTGTGTGAACGAGTTCAGTCAGGTTTAGGGCGACATTTAGAAGGCAGGATGCCTTGCTTGGCCCTAGGGAAGGTCCACCAGTTGGTTTAGTTGGTATTTCATGGAAGTTTAAGTTTTCAGACCTAGTAGTAGGAAGGTCCACCAGTGAGTCTGTCAACACTGTGGTTTTGCTCCTCCCCTTTCGTTACCTGTGTGTGTGTGTGAGGGTGGTCTGCTCAGGTTCAGAGGTCTGTGTGCCCCTGCAGCTCTTCAGCCCATTCTTCCCCACTTGCACCATTACTTGCAGAAGACTTGGCGATTGTAAGGGATGGGTGGTAGAGCGGTGATGCACGCAAAGCGCTCTTTCTTTATTCTTTGTATACAATGTAAACAACTGTATTTACATTTGTATGGCTCGGGCTCGAGTAAAGGGTTCTTTACTCTTTACCCTCACCCCTGTCAAATCTAAGCTCGATACAGCCTACAATCTTGACAGCCAGAGGACTGAGGAGTCACCCAGGTCGGAACCCACACCGACCTTACAGCGATATATGGATGCCTGTCAGAGTCGGGAACACTGTTGGAAGACAGGCTAAAGATGGACTGAAGATGGATTGGTTTCTGTCTGAGTTGGGGTCAGAGGTGTTGGCAGAAGTCTGTTGGAGCATGCATGCATGGATATGTGGGCAGAAATATGCGGCACGTCCAGAAGTGCTGTTCAAGGTTAGCAAAGTGGGATCGTGGCCTCAGCGACTCAAGTGGAGCGCTGTGCCCTGAGCTTGACATTTGGGGAAGATCCCATATTTACAGATTGACACTTACAGCAGACTTCAAACAAGACCTGTGGGTGGAGCAGACCTGTAGGAGGAGCGCAGACTCTGTGAGCATGGACTCAGAGGGGGGGAAGCCCCCTTTGCAGAAGGAGGGACTCAGACCAGAACAGGGGGGGTACTCTAGTTGATTTCAGACTGAGGTCCCCAAAAATATTTACAGGATATAAATAGGCAGGAGGGACACAGAAGGGCCAGTCAGTCTGGCACGGCAATAAGCGGGGATTGTCAAACTGAATGAAGGACAAGAGCCTGGGAAATTGTTAGAACTGGGCAAGGGCAGACAATTCCAGAGGGGAACCGGAGACTTAGCAAGGAGGGACCTTGGCCTCAGCGACTTATGCGGAGCACTGTGCCATTGCTGTTTGTCCATTTGGTCCTTAATTTCAGAGGCAGTGAGCAGGAAGTCTCTAGGGGGCATTTCAGGTCGATTTTAGACTAAGGGCCTAAAACGAGTATGTACAAGCACCAGTATATAATGGAGAGGGCAAAAGCACAAGGAAACAAGGAGGGTCCGAATCAGAACAAAGGCATCTGAATGGGACAAAGGGAAGACAAAAGCGGAGTGGTACCGAAGGTCATAGGTCAGAACCTGTGGTACATCCGAAAGGGGATAAGGAGGGCAAAGCCCAGAGGGGCAGGAGGATGGGTGAAGTGGGATGATGACTAACTGGCTAGAATGGGAAGAAGCAGCAGTCCAAATAAGGATGAGGGGAAAACGCGAAAGAAACATTACAGATGGCGAAAGTGCTGAGTATGATCCGTGGAGCTCGGAGGTTATGGAGGTTATGGAGGTTATGGAGGCAGGGTTGGAAGTCCGAGGAATATTGGCAATGGTGTTTACATAGTATGAGGTCACCAATGCAATGGACTTAAGCCAAGGTGGAGTCAAAGTCCAAGGTCGGAACTATGATGGAAATCTCAGAGTGAAGGTATGAGCGGTGTCTGAGTACAGGGTAAGGGACAGCAGTGGAAGGTCGTTGTTGTGGGGACAACTCTGT